CTTTTATTCCAAAGCTCTTGGAGAGCAGCAGGGAAATGAAGGCTAGAGCTGGTGTCCTGGCCTGGCACTGCCTGGCAGAGTGAGCCATGTTTTCCCTGTTGTTCACCGAGGAGCCACGCCAGGAAAATGATTCACCTCTTTCCATTATGAACCTTGCAGAGCATCTTCACTACCGGTGCCCCCGGCCACCCCCGGCAGCTGTAAGATGGAGAGGGTGGCAGTGACCCGGGGCAGGACTACAGGTTCCAGCGTGCAATTCTCGGCCGCTCGGGCTGACCGGGATGTCCTCCACGGGCACCGGGAGCCGAGGAGAGCTGAGGCTGCATTCAGGGCTCTATAGGCCGGCGTCTGTGAAACGCCGGGGCTTTTCTCACCCCGTTGTCTCCCTTTGTGTCCTGAGGCCTTAATGAGAACGAAGGATGCTCCTAAAAGGTCGCTAACGGAGCTGCCCGGCAGCGTTTGGGCTTTGTGCTGGCGGAGACGCTGCTCCCTGCGCGCGGTGCCTTTGTTCCTGGCTCGAATGTGCCGGAGCAGAGCTCATCTTGTTAGTGATGGTTTGCCTTTCTCCCAGCACGTTTTCTTTCGGCTCTTTCCGTTCCCCTGTCTTCGGGTCACGGCACTCGGGTTCAAACCAATGCAGCTTATTGGAGAGGGGTGAAGAAATCCAAGGGCTCGGCATGGCCCTTCTCCAAGTTTTTTTTCCCCAAGATGGAATCAGAATGAGCTTAGGGTCCCGAACGCCGTGTTAGTAGCAGTGACCCTGCACGGCCCTGGCATCCTACTGCAGGCTTTACCCAAATCAGGGAAAAAATATTTAACAGATTGGTGTAGGGGGGAAAAAAATAGCAGTTTTTTTTCTCAGCTGTCAGAGAAGGTGGGTTTGTGTCTCTGCTGGCTCTGAGCTGGCTCGTCCCTTCCTTTGCTCTTTTGCTGTGGGCTGTGGAGCGGGAGGCTGGCAGCCCTGCTGCTATTCCTGGTGCTGACAAGCTGCTGATGGGAGACGAGGGATGGCGAAAACAAAGTGTAGGGAACGTTCATTAGCAATTAGCCCTGCCTGCAGCTTGAGTGAGGTGGCTGTTGGGGACATAGGTTAGCCACCTAATACACGTTTAAAGCGTTGGCTCTGGCGTGAGGGTGAGCCTGGTGGCCAGTTTTTGGAGGAGCCCAGCCCTCAGCTCCCTTTTGCAGCTACATTTAACCTTGAGCTCTTCCTGCATGCATTAAGCCCTTGAGATCTGCTTTTCTTTCCTCTCCCAGCTAATCTCCCCACAACCAGGATCTTACAGACCTGTAGCAGCGAATCGAAGCCTAATGGGAGCAGTGGGATAAGCAAGGAGGCTGGTGGTTGTGTTGCACGTTCGTGGGGTTTTCAGTGCAAAGCAGTGGGCAGGAGCAGCAGTTGGTAAAGCTGTGCTGGCTCTTCACAGCCCACGGAGCCCACGGCCTCCCAACTGCCTCGTCGCCAGCCGGCTCTGAGGTGGCAGAAGGTCTGAGAGGAGGCTGAATCATTTTACATTGCATAACCCCTCTCTTTCAAGCTTCTCTGCAGGATTGCAGGAGGGTGGGTTTGCTCCTTCTTGAGGGACAACCTGGCCTCTGGACTGTATTTGTTGTGGCCACCTTCTCCTAAATGCAGAGTTGCTTCCAGGTAGAGGCAACGTCAAGCCTGGAGTACCAGCACCTGTTTTATTAACACCCTCAAGATGAGAATGGTGAGTACCACTGAATTTAAGAAGGAGCATCCCCCATCAGACTCCTGGCTGGGTTTGATTCTCAGTTGCCAGGAGAGAGGGAGCATGGTGTCCCTCTGAATTGGCCTTTTATTTGAAAAACTGCTGTTGCAGATCCTCTTTAGTGGGGATCATGGAAACCCAGAGTGGTTTGGGTTGGAAGAACCTTAAATCCCATCCTTGTCCCTGCCATGGGCAGGGACACCTTCCACTAGACCGGGTTGATCCAAACTCCATCCAGTCTGGCCAATATGACGGGATATGCTCTGTCCTCTCTCCCTGCCACACTCTGTGTGGGTTTTGGGCTTTTATTCCAAGCCTCAGATTTGCTAAAGTGCTGATGAGAAGTGACCACTGTCTGTGGGATGTATTAGTTGCGAATAAATTTGTTCTCCATCTCCTAAACTTCTAGCACTGCAGATTGTAGAGTGACTCGACTGACCCTTCCCAACAAAAACATTGAGAAAGGAGGTTTTTTACTTGTTAGACACTTGGGCAGCTGTGGAAAATGTAACAGAGGTGAATGCATTTGGTGTCTTGGTGGCAGCATCTCCACTGAGAGTGGAGCTCCCTATATTTCTGTGGGATGAATGAATGGAATTAGGTCATGGAAGGGACTGAGGGAAGAGGAGAGCTGGGCTGTTGAGTTGACTCAGCGTATTGTGAGGACTCAGACTTGACTTCCTCACCTGGGAGCATCCTGACTCTAGGCAGAGGAAAGGGCTACAGCTCTTTCTCAACTCCAGCAGGCAGGAATATTCTGCTTTTTTTGTTCACCAGGATGGGATAAGAGGTTTCCAGGGTAGGTACAATAGGAAGCCTTAAATGCAGCAGCTGGATGAGAGGCTCCTTCCCTGCCTCCTGGGACTGAGATGCCAGAGGAAGGAGCAGGGCTTTTTAAAATGCAGGACACGAAGGGATTTGGCACAGGGACAGAAACATACCCTGGGAGCAAAGATGAAAGGCTTTGGTGTGGAAGCCTGAGCCTGAGTTGCAGCTGTGGCATCCGCCTTGGCCTTGGGATTGGATTGAACTGGAGCTGAAGGCTTGATCCTGGCTTTGGATGAAAACTGTCAGTGGAGAAGCCAACCTGGCTGTTTCCTTTACTGCTGAAGGCAGGGTCTCTGTTTGGGGGATGTTCCCTGGCTGGGGGCTGTAAGGGATGTGAGGGACCATGGTGGTGTCAAGGCCCACCTAGGAGATGGTGGTTGAGGAGACTTGGGAAGCAGCTGCACTCCAGGCATAAGACCTCTATGACACACTGATCCTGGACACCCAACCATGAGGTGTAGTGGAGCGGGGATGGCCCACCTCTGTGGACAGGTTTGGGTGGTCCCTTATGCCCCTTCGCTCTAGGGAGTGACCTCTGGAGGCTGTGGTGACATGGGGGCTGCTGGATACCTCAGGTTGTCTGGCCATGGAGGTGCTGCCAGTAACCCGCATGATGCCGAGTGCGATAAAACAGCGCCAGCATTTCACACTCTCTGGGCGTTGGCTGGGATATTCACATTGGCTCTTTCTAACCTTCCAAGATCCTCCTTCCCTGCAGATGGCAAATGAAAATCTTTGGCATTGGCATGGAGCAGTGGAAGCAAGTCAAGTAAGGTGACTCAGCCAAAAAAAAATAAAGAGGAGGAAACCTGTCCAAGCCCAGATCGGTGCAGCAGGGCATCAGCACGTGGTACGGATCAGGGCATTCTCCCCCCCCGGCACAGTGCCCCACAGAGCAGCTGAGTGCCCTTACATCTCTCTCTCTTAGTTCACAGTCCTTACACGCTGTTGTAAAATGAGAGGGGTTGGAAACACTTCCCCTGGTTGATCCAGTCCCAGTGTTGGGCTTCTGTAAATCCCCCCTAACCGCTGGCAGTGCTGCCAAACCCCACTGCAGCACAGGGAGAGCAGATCGCTCCCTGCTTCCCTCTCCATGTCCAGCTGTTCCAGGGCAAATCCAAACTCATCTTGGCAGGTCGGTGAGAGCTTTTCAAACACTCGGCCTAGGAGTCATTTGTTAGTAACAAATGGGGGATTTGCCAGGACACGCAGCTCCATCTGGTCTGGCATCCTGTCCCCTCCAGCAGCCTTGACAGATCTGCTTGGTGAAGGCAGGGGAGCAGGAAGAAAAGAGAAGACAATTTTCCCATGGAAGGAAAACCACTTTTGCAGTCTGTTTGAGCAGTGTTTCCTGGGCTGGAGCACCTTCATGGCATGCCCTGGCCTCGGTGCCTGTCAGTGCGCCAGTTCTGCAGCTCATGGACAATCTGAGGGGAGTGTTGAGGTACACATTTTTTATTACTGTTTTGCATTTCACCTCTGCCAGCAAGGCTGAGCTGCAACCAGTCAGGATTCTGGTGCACTTCCTGCATGGAGTAGGTTTTTTCTCCTTTTTTCCCCCCATGGTTAACAAGAGAAACAATCTTAGAGGTCTTTTCCAACCTAAATGCTTCTATGATTCTATAATCTGTTTATACTCTTCCTATATAATTCCCCCATGTGTTCATCATAGACTCTGTGCACAGAACCAGTCCTGAACTGGCTTCTCCAAGCCATCACCTTGGTATGTTGCAGGTGTGTTGCTCACCCTTTAGATGCAGATGAATCTCAAGGGCTGCGTGTCCCACAAGAGGACGGTGCACACTCTGCAAATCTCAGATCCTTGTGTCTGGACTGAGCTCTGTGGGGAAGATTTGGAGATGTATCTGTAGCTGGGTCAGCTGGACGTGGCCACTCTTCTGGTGGTCATCTTCAAGCTGAGTTTGGCAGGTTGTTTCCATTGAGGTGCTGTTTTGCTATCTGTGACTTGGTGGGGATATCCACATTCCCAGGAATGCATCAGTCTGAAAATCAGTCATGAGCTTGTCCCAGTGAACAGGCAGGCTGGAGAGGGCAGGACCCTGACCACCCTCCTGTCAACATACCACAGTTCTGATCAGCTTAAGTCAAGTGTGAAACCACAGGGGAAACACAGGTCAGTGCTAAAGGAGGTTGAAAGGGGTTTGGGAGCAGTCAGGGTGAGTGGATCCGAAAAGGCAGCAAACTCTAACAAAGGCACGGTGGGAAGAGGCTGGGTGAGGGGCTCTCTGAATAACATCCAAACCTGCAATTGTTTGGGGTTTTTTCATTAAAAGTTCTTGAAGTGATTTAGTCTGAGTTGCTACAGCCTCAATATAATACATGTCTTGTCTGAGATCCCTCTGCTCCTGCCCACCAAGCTCTTTCCATGCCTGTGCAGCCGCCCTGACTCTGTTCCCTGTGTCTCCCTGTGTTTCACAGTATCCAGACCTGAGCCAGGAGTCTGGGTCTCCATTTGTCTTTATCTGCACTGATCCCCAGGAGATGGTTGTGAAGTTTCCCATCAAAGGAAAACACAAAATCTGTAAGTAGTAAAGTTTCCCCAGCTGCCCTGTCGGCCCTCGGAGCCTACTCCCCTCCGCAACCCAACTTGCCTTTGCCAGATGAGTTCCCAACCTTTGCCCTCTGCTCTTTGATCTGAAGGTGTTTGTTTAATGGCTCGAATACATCTGTAATATTTTTTTTGTCTTTGGTTCCCTTTGCCCCAGGTGTTGCTTCTTTCCAAATACATGCCTCTTCCTGCCTCTGCAAACACTCGGGGAGTCACAGAGTGCTCATGTCAGCGGCTGGATCCTCTGCTGGCATCAGCCTGGGTCGCGATCCAAGGGGGTGCGGCAATGCCCAGGCGGATCCACATGACCTCCTTGTCTTGTAGTTCCAAATCACCCTCTTGCCCCTGATGATGAGGAGGGCTCGAACAGCAAGAGCTGCTGGGCCAGATGGATGTTCCCCATCCACAGGCTGGCGGGCTGGGATGTCCTGGCAGAGCTGGCAGGGAAGCACCGCAGCATCTGTCCGTGCTCCGCTTGCCAGTGTCATTGGTCCCTTTTATGAGCCACCAGCCCCTCCACAGACTGCCAGTTATTCCTGCCCGCTGCCATAAAAAGGATGGAGGAGGGATGAGGCAGCTGGGGAGCCTGCAGTCAGCTCCAGCCTTATTAGCAGCCTCCCCACCACACAGCCCGGGGAAGGCGCTGCACATGCTTGCAGGGGATGTGAAAAATTAATTTGACGGGCTAAAAGCAGCAGAAGCAGGAACAGTCTTGGCTGTTTGTTTAGCAGAGCTGACACCTGGGTATTTTCGCTCCTTTGCCGTGTGGATCTCTGGAAGTAGTTACCTGGGGCACAGGAGCGGTGGGATTTCACAAGACTGGTTAATAAAGGGTTTAGAAGCACAGTGTAGGGTTATTTTTGTTGGTTTTGAAGTTTTTTTCTCTTCTCTTCTCTGCTCAGGGAAGCACCTTTCTCCCACAGCTTCAGTTTCTCCCTGAGTGTTGGGGTGTTCCTGCAAAACCGTTTGGTTTATTCCCTGCCTTTTGGGGCAGTACCTGGGAGGTGCGTTCAGCCAGTGGTGACCAGCGATGCTTGGAGAGCTGCAGCATTTGGATCTCACTCAGTCCTCCCCCTCAATGGGTCATTCCCAGTGCCAGTGAGCAGGCGGGAGTTATTAGAGATGCAAACATCTTGACTGTGGGAGAACATCCTTGTGGCTGTTGCATGCTGGAGAAATTGCATCCTTTTTTTTCCTTGTTTCAACCTCTCCTTGCTCTCATCCAGGCTCTCTCATGCCCCTTCTCTCCCACATCTGCCTCCATCCATTGGGGGGTAGGAGAAGGGGATGCTGCCATGTGGGGTGAGCGTGGGATGACCGGCTTGTGTGCGTCTGCCTCGCTGGGTGCAGGTGCTGCCAGTCCCCTCCCCATCTGTCACATTGTCTCCTTTGTGTTGTGACACTTCCCTTCTTAGAGAAGGATCAGTCTAACAGCCTGGAAGGAAACCGGCTGTGCTGGCAGCTGCCTGCGCTCCTGCTGCTGTCCAGCCTTCCCTGCCCTCCATCCCGACAGGAGCTGTCACAGGAACAGTGTGGGAGGACTGTGAAGCTGCATGTTCACCCCCTGGAAGGGACATGGTCCGTCTGGGTGATATTTGTGACAGCCTAGGGAAGGAACAGGGAAGCCTTTGACCTTTCACTGGGGCAAGGCACTGTTTTAATAGGAGCTGGCATTGCATCCCAGGCAGGCAGAAGCTTAATTCTCCCAGCTGGAAGCAGAGCAGAGGGAAGGTGCCGGCTCACATCCCCACCTGGGCTCTCTGGCTGCCCTGGTCTCCTTGAAACCTGGCTCAAGGCATGACTAAATGCCAGTTTGTCTTGTTGGGAAACCAAGCCAGAGCGGTTTTCCTTGCCAGATAACAGCATGGACCTTGCCACGATGACATCCGGATGCTTCTCGGTTGCAAATTATTTGTTTCTGTCAGCCTGGGGATGGGGAAAAAAAAAACCCTAACGTGGCTCGGGTTTTGCTTCCAGGGTTATTGTGTGGAAGGGATGGGCACAGTGCTTGTGTTGTATCTGGGAGTGTGTCCGTCCCCAAACTCATCCCCATGTAGTTTTAGCACATGAGGACAAAGCTCACTGGCTGTTCTTGTGAGAGTTTTCCTTGAATCCTGGCAGAGCTTTCCTGAAACATCGTTGAGAAACCTCCCTCCAACAGCCGGCGGCTGGAAGAGCATGGAGGAGCAGGCAGAGGGACTCAGTGTGCGAGAGACCTTAAATCATTGAGCAGAAAGAGCTGGGGACCCTGGAGCTTTGCCTTATTTTTAGCCTTTTCTTAAAGGTTACCTATGTGGTGTGTGATGTTTGCCAGCTGGAAGAGCAGAGGAGCCTCCTGGTGGTTTTGGGGTCCAGGAGGAGCAGGCAGACACGGGAAATATGATGCTGACAGCCCTGGTGGCATAGTGTTGGGTGGGGAGGGGACCAGAGCATGGAGAGAGTGGGAACTTCCTGCCTTCTTCCTGCCAACCCCTACAGGGTGTGGGGACAGGCTGGTTGGAAATGTTGCATCCAGATGGGCTGGCTCAGTGTCCAGCCATTGCAAGGAGGGGGCTTCTTCCCCAGCCTTAGGTGGTGGTGGTGAAATTCTTCTCTGAGGTGGCCAAAGGGATGGAGGATCTCCCAGACCAGATTCCAAGCCGCATTTCATTTTGCAGATCAGTCATACAGTGACCTGCAAACCCTCTTTGCTGAGCTGGAATTGAGAAGTTGGCTTGGTTTGAAGAGAATGTGATGGTCTCTAGCTAGTTTGGAGCCCTTTGCTTTGGAGAAGCCCCTGCTTCTCAGGCACATGGGTGTTTACTGGCCATTTTTGGAGTAGTGGCCAAAGTAGAACTTGTTTGGAGCTTGGTGGATCTTGTCCACACCACAGATGTGCTGTAGCTGGGTTGAAGCAACACAGCTCTCCCAGGGATTGCATGGGCTGTGCTTCATCCATGGGCTTGATACTCCACATGGATGGTGTTGAGGGTGAAGTAATTCCAGCTCCAGCTCCATCCACCTCACTGGGATTTGACTGGGATGGATTTTATCTTCTACTGAGATGGAGCTCTGATCCCTTTGCCTCATTTCCTGATGGTGTGCCTATAGTGGACCTGATGTTACTCCTGAGGGATGCAGGGGATGCAGGGATTGGGGCCACCCTCCCCAGCTTGGGATGGGGCCTGCAGTTTTTGCTCCTGCCTTATGCAATGCCTTGGAGCCCTGTCCCTGCTCCCAGCTAGAGACAGGCCTAGGCTGGCATTTGGAAGATGGGAAGATGCAGGGGAGCAGCAGGGGAGCTTCTGGGGAGACATGGCATGAGAGGAGGTGACTGGCACTGGCACAGCCTTTCTGGGAGCTGCAGGAGCTTTGCCTGGGAGAGCGGGAGCATCCTGGCTTTTTTACATGCAGGAAGAAGGGGACAGGGACACTTCTCCAAAGCAGCTCATCGCGCTCCTGGCTTGCTCACTGTGCCTGGCTTCTGACTTCTTCTGCAGGAGTTCCCCAAATCCCATGTCCTGGTGTCCTGCCCCCACCAGGTGGGAAAGCGGATCTGGCAGCTGAGCCACTGTGAAGGACAAGGGGAGGCAGTGTTTGCTCCAGGTCCCACCAGAGCTCCTGGCCGAGGTTCTCCCAGGTGGCAAAGGCAGCATGGCCCTCCCAGCTGGTGGCCTTGGAGGTCACAAACCTGGCACTTGGCAGCAGAGAGCGGTTGTCCCAATCACACTGGGTGCCCATTGCACCATCGTCCCCAAGCTGAGGGTTTGTTGTCCCCAAGCCTGACTTTCCGCCACACTGAGGAGAAACTTGTCCCTGACACAGTCCCCCATCTCCTCCGAGTGTGTCAACACACATTCCGCAGGCGAGCACAGGGATCAGTTACCCCCCACCCCGTAGTAGCAGGCAAGTGCTGGATGTTAATTTACTCTCCTCTTCGCTGAATTTTCCCCTCTCTGGCGTCTCTTGGCCGCGTTGGACATGCTTGCCCCCAGCTCCTCGGTGTCATGCCTGTGGAGGAGGCCGCGGTGGCTGGAAACGCCTGGCTCCTCAAGCAGGATAATTGGATGTGACAGGAACACACTAACTAGGAGACCTCGCTGCCTTCAGCTCATTTGCATTGCAAATAGCATTTAAAAATAAAGAGTGATGAGGGTTTGTTGTGGGTTTTTTTTCTTTAATCCTCTCTTTACAGGGAAGCTGGATGCAAAGATCCATCAGGGAGCGAAGAAGGGGTTAATGAAGCAGAAAGCTGTGGGGTGAGCGCCAGGGGAGCAGCACCGGTTCCCACGAAGCACCCAGCCGCCTCCAAAAAGTGCCAGCATGGTCCTTGGCTCCAGAAAGCAGGTGCAAGACGGATCCCTGATCCCAGATTGCTTTTAGGTATTGCTCTATCTGTTGTATTCCAGAAGCATTAAAAGAGATGTGTTTTCACCAAGCTCTGTGCTTCCCGGGAAGTCACAAGGGTGGGTGGGAGATGGCGCTTCATGGGATGGGGTTCAGCAAGCACTGGCATCTCCACATCCTCTGTGGAGCAGTGAAACCCAGGAGGGGTGAGGGGAGCTTCCCAACAGCAGCCAGCCCAGCTCCATCCTGGCTTTGGCAGCATCTCCCCAAAATTGCCTTGAGATATGTTTACTGGATGGGGTTGGACACATGGAGGAGAAGGGGATGGCTCCCAACAGCCAGAGAGCCTGAGCCCTGCCCAGTGGGGATGGAGGGCTCAGGGTGAGAGCGGGGCTCTGTTCCTGCACGGAGGCTTTCTGCTCACAGGTGCCCTTCCAGCCCTTGGAATTGCCTTCTTAGTACCTAGCCTTACATCCCTCTCTCCTGATTTGTAGCAAAGCAGCAGCCATCCCCCAAAACCTGCCCCCCAGCAGCTCTGTGTAAAACACCTTCTGAAAAAGATGAATTTTGTCTTTTTCTCTAATCCCTCCCATTCAGCAGTTCCCTATGTCACCGTGTCTGTGCTCATTATGCACTGCTGTGCACTGGGCTGTGATCCCTTCGTGCCATGGTGCTCCAGGCTCAGCCCGAGAGCTCCTCCTCATCACCTGGAGCCCACTCTGCTCTGGGTGGGATGGAGCAACCGCCCAGCACTGCCGGCATCCCTCTTCCTCCTCCTCTTCTCCAGGGATGTGTTGGTCACTGCCAGCTCCGCTGCTTGGCACAGTCACTGGTCTCAGGTTGTCCCAGCCCTCTGCCCTGTCAGAGAGGAGGAGGAGGAGGGGAAGCCTTCGTGCAGCTAGATGCTGCAGCACTGGAAATCATCCCATGCCATTTGCCCTGGGAGTTGTCTTCTGGCTCTGTTTGCTGCCTGTGGGATCTCTGAGGTGCTGGAAATAGCGGGGCTGGATCCAATGCCCACCCACATCATTCCTCAGTGGGAAAACCCTCGTGGGTGTTGCAGCTCTGAGTTGCCCGCGGTTGGCACAGAGGTTGTGGTGAGGGAGCTGCTGTTTGGCGTTGCCGAGGGGAATGGGCTTCTCCTGCTTCTTTCCTCCTCTGGCTGCATTCCCCCTTCAACCCTGTCCCTTGTGTCCCATCAGTGTGGTCCTCCTGGAGAGGTCCCTGCAGCCTTGTTACACAGAGATCCTCCTGTCCTGGGTGGATGTGTCTTGAGAGTGAGGGGATATGTCTGCAGTGCCCAAAGGAGTAGAGCTAGAGACAGACAGAGGTTTGGGGAGTCATCCCAGGATCCTGGTGTCTTGGAGAGAAGGAGACAGGAGAGGCCTTCCTCGTGGGCTGGGTGGGAGAGGTAGGACATGGAGGGTTATGGAAGTCCAAGCACCCAGGGAGAATGCTCCCAGCACCCAGGGGCTGCACCCAGGCTGGGCTCCAAGTGCTGCAGGGTCTCCAACTCCCATCCCAGGAGTGCAGCCCTGTCAGACAAGATTGTGACAGAGTGGTGTCTTGTAACATCCCTGTGATCCCACAGGGTCCTATCTACCCCTCACACGTAGTGCCCATCAAAATCCCCATCCCAAGGCACTGCTTCCCTGGATAGGTCATCCACCCTGTTTCTAAGTCAGGCTTTAATATTAGCTTGTGATTTGGCTCAGTTTTAAACCACGTCCATCTCCTTCATCCGCCTCTGTGACAGTGGCAGCTGCCTTGTCACCTCTCTGTCCTTTATGTCACGTCCAGGTTTCATCTCCGAGGGTTTCACCATCGTCAGTAGGACCCATTGAGTCGCGCAGGGACTCTGACAGCCCTGGGCAGAATGGATCATGGGTCCTGCTCATGGTCATGGCAAAACATGCCATCAGAGAGATGCTGAGATTTTTCCCAATGGAGCCACTTTGCCTGGCAGGGGGTTTATTTTCCTTCTGTATTAGTGACATCACTTATGGTTTTTCTAGGGAAGATGCTCTAACCCATCCCTGTTTTGTCCTGTGTTCCTGTCTGATGCTGGTTTTCCCACTGTGGGAGTCATAATTCCTGTCTGAGATGTGCTGAACATGAACACCAAATGCCCAAGAAACATTTTACCCAGTCCTTCAAAATAATTCAGTAAAAAACGACCTGGTTTTATTAATACAGGTTGTCTTGGGGCCTGTCAGCATTAGCTTTGTGCGTGTGAGAACAGTTTCTCCTCATTGGGTTAAGGAAGGATTTCTTCTCTTTCTGTTTTTTGGGCTGTAAGAGTTCTCATCCCTCTTTTCCTGCTGCTTTAAACCTCTTCTGGCTCCCTCCTACCTGCCCCAGCCCCAAAAGAGAGACACTCAAACCTCAGCCCTTCACAGCATCCCACCTCCTCTGGCAGGGATTTGGGTCTTGTGTTTTCCTTGTTTGGGTCAAAAAGCTTCGGAAGAAATCGGTGTACTCCTGAAACCAGAGGAAGAAGACATGCACTGTCCCCAGGGATGGTGCCACCTCTCCAGGCTGGAATACCCACCCCAGCCCCTGACTGGGTGGAGGGAAGTGATCCTCCCCTCTCCATCACCTTTGCTGCAGGACTATGCCCTGGCTCCGTGCTCCAGATGCCAGCTTGGATCATTCATCCTGTCTCACATTGGCACAGCTTGATGTACTGGTTTGCCTTGTGCTGTACTGGTTTTGGGGGTGTCCTGAGGACAGGGCTGGGATATTCCCATGAAGACGAGCTGAAATTTCCTCACCAGACAATGGGGCTGAGGCTTTGGCAAAGGGAGCGGAGGGTTTTGCAGTGTCCTGGGACCATGGGGGCTCCAGGGAGGGACCCCCGTGGCCTGGGGGGATTCGTGCCGGGCTTGGGTCTCCCACGGCAGTGCTCAGAGCGTAAAACACCCCAAAAATCTCTTCCCCATCCCTTTCCACGGTGGCACCGCGGCGGCTCCGGCTCCTCAGGCGGGGGATGCTCCGTTCCGGGCTTTGCCCGGCGCCGGCTCCCGATCCCTTCATGCGGGGGATTCCGTTCCGTGTTTCCCCCCCACCCCGGGGACGCCGCTCCGGGTTCCGCCCTCCGCGTTTTGAGCCGCGCCCGCCCCGCCCCGCCCCGCCCGGCGGACCCGGCGCGGCCTGCGCGGCGCGGCCTCAGCGCGTGGCGGCCCCGGCCGGCCCGGCCCCGGCCCCGGCCCCGCAGCGCCGGCCCGGCCCCGCATGGCCCGCACGTAGCGCGGACACCCCAGCGACCGGGTGAGTGCGTGCCCGCCCGGCCCTGCGCCGCCCCGCCGCGAGGGGGGGGCTTTGGGGGAGGGGGCGGCCGTTGGAGCTTCCTCGGGCATTGGGCCTCGCCCCCCCTTCATACGGGCTGGGCCCGGGACCGCCACCGTGGGCCGTGATCGCCGGGCCGGGCGTAGGTACCCCCGCCCCCAGCTTCGCTTGTGATCCATGGAGACGCGGCTGTGTGCCCCCCCCCTCCCCCCCGTGACCCTTGGGAACGAGGTCTGCGTGCTCCCCCGGGACTGTTGGGGACGCAGGGGGTCGGGGTGCCCCCCTCTGCTGTGATCTGCGGGACGGGGCCGTGCCCACACCGTAACCCTTGGGGACGGTGGTCTGGCTGCCCCCCCCACTCCGTGACCATGGGGGCGGTTGTGTGTCTCCCCTGTGACCCTCGGAAACGGGGATTTGAGTGCACCCACTCCGCTGTGACCACTGGGGACGAAGGTCTGTGTGCCCTTCCTTCCACCCCTGTGACCATTGCGGACGGGGCTGTGTGCCCTTTCCTCCCTCCCCTGTGGCTGTGGGGACGGGACTGTGCCCCCCCCCGTGACCCCTGCGGACGAGGATCTGTGTGCCCACCCTATCCCGTGACCATGGGGGCGGTTGTGTGTCCCCTCCCTGGGGCCGTTGGGAACGAGCCCCCCCCCCGGGGTGTCGTGGCCGTTGGGGTCGGGTTCCCCCGCGGGGGTGCGGGGTTCCCCCCACCGCCACCGCGGCAGTCCTGCTCAGGGTTCTGAGGGCTCACCCTGTGCGTGCGGGGGGTGCGGATCCCTCCCACTGTGAGTGAGGAGGGGCTCGTCCCCCGCGTGTCCCGGGGACATGGGGGGCGTCAGGGCTGCGGAGGGGAAATCCACGTGCGTGGGGTCACCGCCGTGGCAGGTTTTGGGGGAAGGGCCGGGGATGGGGAGGCAGGCGGGGAGGAGATTGAGGGGCAGCAGTGTCCCTGGGGATGGGGGGGAAATCTCACCCTCTTGAGTCCAGTCTCTGTGCAGGGAGGGTTTGCGAGGGTTTGGGGTGCACAGGAGCAGAGGGGACCCCAGGAATGGAGGTTCCCCTGGAACAGGGAGGGGGACTCTTGTCACAGATCCCTCAAGATTAAATTTTCCCCAAGGCATTCAGTGAGTGTGAGTTGTTCCGAGGAGGGGTCAGACCCCTAGAGCAGAACCCCTCCAAACATCTCCCTGGGCTGTGCCGTGTGCTGGTGACCTGGCGATGCAGGATGTGCCGCCTGCCTTTGAGGTTTTTGAGCCCCCTAGAGCCAGCGGGCTGATCCAGGGGTGACACTAGTGGTGACAACGTGGCCAGGTGTCCCATGAGGGTTGGGGTGGCCGGCGGGGGCAAGGGCGGCGGGGTGAGGACGGAGTTCCTGTGTGCAGCTCTCCCGCCCGCTGTGTACACGGGGAAGGTCACAGGTTCAGGTCTGGTCTGTGAGATTTGGCTCCCCTCCATCTCCCAGCAGCCCTCTTTTTTCCTTTCCTTTCCTTTTCCCCCCTTTCCGGGAAGGCCCTTTTCCTCGGAGGAGGTGTTAGCCACTTATTTTCCGTGACGGACACTGGAGAGCCCACAGGCCCTCTCCCCCCCCTCCAGCAGATCCAAGGATGCCGGCTGCAGGGCCAGTGATCGGGCTCCAGCACGCGTAGGCAGTTCCTCGCCTGGACATCCTCAGGAAAACCTATTTCCACGCTTTGTGCGATGACTCCGGCATCGGATTGTGCCTCACATTTCTAGCTCTTTGTTGA